TTTGTGCTCAAGTGAAGGCAGGCCGCAGTCACAGCCTGGGGAGAGGCCCTACTTGGAACACGGGGCAGACAGGCAGTAGGCATCAACAGGACAGGTCAGCACTGTGGGTCCAGAGTCGCGTGGTCACCAGGCAGACAGTATTCAGATGGTTCTGGTGTCCAGAGAGGAGGGAAGAACTGTCTCCTCACTGCTCTGCGAAGGAGCGTGGCTGGAGGACAGCGCTGGGTCCTGAACCCTGCCCGAGTGCAAAACGTGCACCGCCGACATGACTGATGACCCTGTGGCCACATGCCTGCTTCCCCCGTTTCATCAACGCTGTGCGGAGAAGATGGCTCTTCTCTCTGTTCCAGGAACCAGGTGACACACCTGTGTGATCTGGGAGGGTACACTCAGTGCTCGTCACACTCATCCCCTGGAGGGCCCACGTCTAAAGGATGAAGGGGAAGGAAGTGACTGTGGCCCTTGGGCCTCCGCAGGACACCAGGACAGGACCCGTGCGATCAGCACCAACTGCCATCTGCAGGGTCATACTCTCAGCTCTCAGAAACCACACGGGCACTGCTGTCACAGACCATCGAGCTGGTTCCCAGCGCCCTTCTGTTAACAGAACCAAGCACTGTCTGAGCCATGGAAACAGGGTTCCCATGACTGCTGGGGGGAGGAGAGGTCCGAGGGGGCAGCGGCCTGGCCTGGGACCAAGTGCTCATATCTTGTTCACACATCACACACAGGTGTCCTTCTCATCGCCCTCCTGTGGGAGGCAGAGAACCATAAGCGTCTCAAAGGCAGGAAGTCTCCAGACACTGGCCACCTCACAAAACCTTTCCCTAGACCAGAGAGGAGGCTGTCAAAGTCTGAGCTCTAACGTGCCAGGACATAAGTGGCTGCTGCGCTGCCCATGTGACATGTGATAAATGCACAACAAGCCACGAGGTGTGTCACTCACCAGATTTAACACCGTGCACTGTTGTTACTGAGTGCCTTCAAGAGGCGCACATCTCATAGTGACCTTATGATCAAAAGGCCGGAAGCCTCTCTACAAATAGCAACCTTTCTCAAAGTTCACAGAGTTTCTGGAGGCACGTTGTTTAGGAAGCGGATGCCGCTCCCGCTTCCAAATCATGTGCACTAGACCTTGACATTAGGGAAGGAAAGTCGTTCTTCTTTCCTAGAAGCCAGGATTTCGATCATGTTTTCTAACAGACAGAAACCACCCCAGTGCCTTCAAAACCAAACTCACAGCGAAATTCAGCTGCAGATGGTGCCAAGTGTGAGCAGAGAGCAGGGTGAAGGCAGGAGTCGGGGCTGGCTCTGCACGGTGTTCACGAGCCAAGCTGGACGCACACTCGTTGGTGCGTGTGGACCTGCTGGGAACCCAGGGCGGTCGAGCCTAAGCCGTCATCCTGCAGTGAGAGGTCAGCACGTGTTCACGACAGGGCCACAGGCTCGAGCAAGGGCTGGGCAGCCAGCAAACAGCACCACCAAGTGCTCCTCCCAGCCACGTGCACCCTGACGCCGCACCAGGGTTCGGTCACTTCAGAAAGGAAGGTCTGTGCCCACCAAACCCAGGCCGCTCCACTAAGCCTCGGAGAGCTTCACGCCTCACTTCATTTCTGCTGCCTGAGCCGCCCGGCTGTGGGAAGCTCACTCAGGTGGTCTCAACCCAAAACGACGTCGGGCACAAAAGGACCCACTCGGCTGGCCGTGTGCTGCCTCACAGGCCTGCGGGGCTCCGGTCCACTGCGGCAGCCACCATTTCAGGCCTTCTCATGGCTACAGGCTGTCCGGCCCACTGTTTCCTAACCTCCTTGTGACATGCAGGTGACAGCCTCTCAGGTGAACCCTCAGCAACCCTTCCTAACAAAGCATGGTGTTCGGGGAGCATGCCAGGGAAATGGGGACTCTGGGCACAGTCTGTAAAATGCTTTCAACCTGGCACTTACTCCTCAAGAAGTGTCTCTGCCGCCAATGCCACCCTCACGGTCCCCACCCCTAGGGAACACTCCAGCGACGAGCAAGGCCAAGGAGTGTCTCTGCCTTTCTGCTCCTGGTGCTGGTTCTCCAGGGCCCAGCATCCGTCCACATCGAACTGCCTTGGGGCCATGTACCCCGATGTCTGCAGGAATGAGGAATGGGCTCGGAGTCTGGGTGGGTTCTAGGAGAACCACGTCCATCAAGGACTGCCCACAGAAATGCAGAGTGCTACCGAGGCACGAAGAGGCCGCTTCCTCCTGGAACAATCCGGGAAGGCTTTAGGAGGCGGTGAAAGCTGCTCTGGGTCTTGATGAGGAGGTAGGAGTTTTGTCGGTGCCATCTCCCCAAGTGCTAGTTCCACTGAACTTGGCCTGAGCCACGCCAGGCTTGCTGCTGAGACACGTGTCACAGCGTGTGGAGGACGGAGGGGTCCACTGCCACTCAGGAAGCAGGCAGCAGGGGATGGTCAAGCTCAGCAAGGACCTCTTGCAGAGATGGTGCCACACTGGGAAGCAGCCACTGGGTACTCAATGACCTGCTTCGCCCGTGTGTCAAAGTGTCCTGAGGAACAGGCATGTGCCAACACTGCAGGCCTGAACGCGCTGACATGAGAAGACAGAGCCGCCATGCTGGGCCACCCAGAACACGGGACAAAGACACGGTGGCACTGAGGAGCAGGCATCAACTTCGTCGTCATCGTTGTTGTTAAGTGCCATCGAGTTGCAGGCGACTCTCAGGGACTCTGAACGAAAGACCTGGACACCAGTATAATCTTCATCCTCTCTCCAGGCTCATAGGGTTTCCAGAGGCAAGCTATTGTCGAAGTGAATGCCACTCCTGTTTCCAAGCTTGTTTTAATTGGGAAGCTCCAACAAACACTGTCCACCACGGGTAACCATTATCGCATTTGACACATCGGTGGCACAGTGTTCAGCTTCACAGCAACCACGAGTTACCTCTGTACAGTGGCACTGGGAGCAAGCATCAACTTTACACACACACACACACACACACACACACACACACTAACAACAGGGAAGCAGATAACGCAAGGCTTTCCGGGCTGAGCTAAGGAGCCAGACCCGAACTGAGTCATAACAGAACATTTCTAACCAGAGGAGTGACTCAACCAAATCTGCAGAGGAGGAATCCAAGAAGAAGTCAACGGAGAATGAAGCGTGAACCTCAAGTTAATGAAGGTTGCTGAAGAAATGATGTCAGAACCAGACATGCTGTGTCTTTTCACATATAACACGCTATGTGACTAACACATGCACATGCATGTAACACGCACAGGAAATGAAGGAATAAGGAAAGGGGACTTGGCATTTACAACACAGAGTACGCCACAGACACTCTGCAAGAAACTATGGTGAGAAGGATGGGGGGTGGGAGCCAGACAGGAATTCGAACCATGACTTCATGACCAGTTTTGTAATCTGGGGTCAAATGACTTAACCTGCCTCAGATCTCTGTTGTGTTCTTTCTGTAGAAGAGAAATGACCTCAGGCTTACTGCAGTGACTGTGTGATCACACACACATCAGGACTCGCTAAATGCCAGTGAATGGTATGATTAACGGGCACCTGAAGCAGAGGGAAAGCAGAGAGACAGCCAAGAGAGGGGAAATATAGACGTCTAGCAGGACACAGCTACGAAGAGAAACTGAGGGTTAAGATCAGAAGACCTGAAGGGCTGAGAGAGCAAAGGGAAGGCCGTGCTCTGAAAGCAGGTCAGGACCAGACACTTCCTCTGAGGGGCCATGGAGTGTGCATGTGACAAACAGCACAGCCAAGAGCTTCAGGGCTCGTTCTCAACCTGGGCTTTAGTATAGGAAGGGGAGAGCCAGTGTCAAGCTGACTCACTGCTCTACAGAACATTCTAGAAAACAGGCTCCTGCTGGATTACCTGGATGTGTAGTGGCTTCCCCCCCCCCCCAACTAGGTTACAAATACCTCCAAAACTGCCACCTGTCTGGCACATGGGGGTGATTGTAGAGCCTTCACAGTATCGCGTGGCCCAGGGATGGTTCCTCCCAAGGAGGGGCACTCATTCCTCCGAGAACATGCTGGAACCTGAGGCTAGCTAGTGGCCTGCTATGGTCCAGAGAAGCCAGCTCCCACGCTCTGCAGGGCGTGAGCATGGTTCCCCCAAAGGACGCAGCACTGCCCAGGATCGCAGCCACGGGCGTCGCACAGGCACGCTGCCCTCACAGGAAAGGCGTTCGTAACGCTGCGTCCAGTGAGGACAACTACATTCTTACTCTAGGTCACCGACAAAAAAAAACAAAAAACAAACCCAAACATTTCAGGGGAAAGGACTCAAAATTAAAGAGACAGGAATGAAGTTTATTCTGAGTTAGACTATCAACTACTAATGTAAGCAAAAATGAATACCTTAGAAATGTCACATACTGTGTGCACACATCTATAAAATCTATTTATACATGTGTGTAAATGGACATCACACAGCTTAAAACACTAAACTTAGGTTTGTGGAAGATGCATTTTCCTTTTCCCCTCCCTTTCCAACATTCACGACACATTTAAGTTAAGGACAGAAAAAAAGAAATAAAACTTCTGGAAACATGACCAAAAATACAACATATGCATCATACCAGAATACGGTTAATATTGTGTTTATCACAAGATTTTAATTATACATTTCAAAAAGCAATACTCAAACACCATTGTATGCTAACTGCAAGAAAGATAAAAAATTTAAAAATAATTCCCATTTACTGAACTTTGAAAAATATTAAAAGTAAATTCTACTGAATCGCAAGGATAAGTTATAAAAACAACTTTATATTTAAAACAATCTCAAAGTATGTTTAGCACAACAGTAAAACATAAGAATGGACCTTCTACATAATCTAGTATATAACTGCAAACGCCATTCACTCATCAGCTAAAAAAGTCCAACCTACAAGCTATATTCCCCACAGCAAACAAGAAGGGTCCCAGCTCGTTCTGAGCGATGCAATGTCGGGGATGCTCCATGTCGGGGTGACCCCCAGCCCTTACCTGACACAGAGACCGCGTGGGTCCGGACGCCCTGCTTCTCACTGTTGGCGAGCCTGCAATGAGAGAGGTTGCTCCTAGCACTCCAGACAGGCAGGACCCCTGGGGGAGCCCCACGTTCCACAGTCCCCCGGCCGGGCACTCACATCCCACAGGACCCCGGGAAATGCCAGATGCGGAGAGGCCAGGTCACTTCTCCAAACACTAGCTTTTCACCAAGGTTTCTGCTTTTCAAACATCAACTGGCTTCTAACACGTGTGGGACCGGAAGTGCCAGTGTGCTATAATGCTCCACATTAGAACGACCAGGGGAGGGTCGGAGTGCTGAACGCACATATCGCACCAACTGGCCACCAGCACTTCCGGAGAGAGAGGACCGTGTGGCCTCAGGTGACCGCACACGTGACGGCTACCACTGCCCCCACCCAGGGCGCACACCGAGCCAGATGTGACCCAGAGCTCTCCCCAAAGTTAAGACAAAATGAAAATTACATCAAAACAAAACCAAATAATCACTTAGATTTTTAAAAATTTGTGTGCTTGCTTCAAGAAATGGCACAATTAGAGTCATATTTGACAAATTTGCAAAAAGAAAAGCAAAAATGCTTCCAAATATCGCTGTTGTTGCTAGGTGTCTTTGAGCCAACCTTAGGACAGATCCGACCCTGCCCCGCATCAGTACTCGCTGACACATGAGTTCTCTGCTATGGTCACTGTGTCTGTCATCCTCTCTTGACAAGGCTATGGAAGGCTACGGACTGGATCAAGTGCAACTCAGGTTCAACCGACATCAGTACTGTGAAAGGATACAACCAGGATGCCCTTCCCTGATTTTAAACCACACAGTATCCCCTTGTTTTGTTGGAAAGACTGCTTCTTAGTCCAAGTACAGGTTCCACACGAGCATAATAAAACGCTCTGAAATTCCCATTCTTGATACTATTATCCATAATTCATTATGATTCAAACTTCACACAGGGAATAAAAACCCATCTTTCTGGTTTTCAACATCAGGAATGTTCTCCCTCATCCCACAGCTTTCTCTAAATCCAGCCTGAATCTGGCACTGCCCTGCTCAAGTACTACTGCAGACACTGGCATATTTTTTCAGTGCACACTCATGCTTACCGCTGCATTATTCACAACAGCAAATGCAGACATTTTCACATATTCTTCAGTGCACACTCATGTTTACTGCTGCATTATTCACAACAGCAAAGAGACGGAAGCAACTCAAGTACTCATCAATAAAGGAATAGGTAGGAAAACTGGTATATTCACACAATGGAATACTGTGTAGCACTGAAAAATGAGAAACTAACAAAATATTAAACATGGGTGACCCTCGGGGACATTATGCTGAGTGAAATATCTCAGTCACAAAAGGACAAATATTGTAATAACATCACTGTTATAAAACACGACTGACAAAGGGATTGGGGGGATAACTAAGAAAAGAGGGGATAAACAATAAATACTACATTGCAACAGTTTAAGGAAAGAACTATTTAAAAAGAATGTGTTTAGGCATTGTAAGTACAACAACAGCCCAGAATAAGAGGTACATTGCAAAAAAGACAGAGGGGGGGAAGGAAGTGATTGTACAATTAACAAATAATAATTTTTAAAAAGTGAACTGGGAGAGGGGGAAGGAAGGAGAAGGGGTTAAATGTGCAACAACGAATGAATGAAAAGCCAACTTTTCAGTAAACTTTTGTTAAAAATCACAATTAATGGGGGGAAGGACTGCATTAACAATGAAAGAGTTTTTCTTTCTTTTGAGGGGTCGGGGGGGTGGGGTGGGTAGGGAGAAAAGTGCAACAATGAATGACTGGAAACCCTAAGTCTCTCTAAACTTTCATTAAAATTAAAAAATGTTTTTTAAAAAATTACAATTAAAACTGTCATTAAAAAACAATTTTCTGGGTGGGGGTGGGGTGGGTGGGGAGAAAAGTTCAACAATGAATGAATGGAAGTCCAAAATCTCTGTAAATGTTCATTGAAATAAAAAAAAAATTTTTCTTCAGCAAAATTTTGCTTGTGTGTGAAATAAACCTTATACTTTCTATAACCTCTGGGATTGCAGTTGCCCAAAACACCTTTCCTGCCAGTCGTCTGTCTACGCTTCTTGGCGAAGCAGAGGACACACTTCCAGGGTTCTCCTTGTCACTGAGCAGACAGCTCTTTACTCACCTGCATCTCCATCTCCGTGTCTGGATTCCACCCCCTCCCCCACCCCAACCTCTTAGTGTTGGTTCATAATGCACTGGCTGAGAATACTCAAGACAGTAAAGACTTTATTTTGGAGTTACAACTTAATTTCTTATAGGTCAACAAACTGACTGAAATCCTGATACAAAATACTAAGCAACTAAAAAAGTTCATATACATTTCTTTTAAATTTTCTTGCTCATAAATATGTGGTACCTTCTTTCTAGGGGTCCAGTACCAGAGAGGGAGACAGATAGGAGGCTTATTCAACAATGCACCTGGCACTATTTTTTAACTCCTTTCTGAAGTGATCATAAAGAGAAAATGTACTTGGAGATTTTTCCTTAAATCTATATATGAGTATATTTGGTTTTCTTTAAATCTGAGAATATATATAATATACAGTTTTCTAGTCCCCTTATCATGCATATGTATTTTTTTTATTAGAAATTCCTAAAGACTTGAGGCAAATGGATAATAACCATGGTTATTTCCGTAAAGCCTCAAATGCACTTGATGAGAACATAAAGGCAGCACTTACTTTGGTATCGATGGTAAAGCCCGTTCACCTTCTGGGGAAAGAAAAAGAGGAATGAGTTTTGTTTTGTTCCTTTGAAAAGGCCTTGCGAACAAAGCAGGCTTCTGCAGGGTCTTCAACGAGCCTTGTCACCCCTGCAATCTGGGCTCTTCTTCCTCTTATGTTTTCCATATTGATAAAAAAATTACTCCATCAGTGTGTACTGTTGAGGTCTGAATTTTAAATTGATAAACAGGCAAAATGTTCCCAAGAAATGAAAAAGACATCTTTTCCAAGCAAAGCTAAACATTCTCCTCTGGCAAAGGCTGAGTTCATATAAAGATGCTGGCTAGTTACAGGGACTGCACAGACACCAGTCACAGAGCAGGAGCAGAGAGCCTGCCACTGACCCATCACAACGGGGAGTCTGCCTGGGGCGGCTACCGAGGCCCCATAGCAGGACAGGCCAAGGGGACCCCTCCAAACGCTGCAAACTCAAGCCTTCAGCTCTGTAATCTAGGGTGATCCCACAGCCTCTAATGCCATCTCTAGCTTCCCAAATTACAAAGTCACCAAGACATTTTCCTGCTTCAACTGTCAGGATCTTTCAACATCTTAGGCTATGACAGAAAACTAGGTGTCACACAACACTGCTCTGCCCGCCTCTGAGGCTGTGGGCAAAGCCGGGGACAAGGTAGGTAGTACCCTCCCCAGTCCTCATTCCTGACACCTTCACTCCAGCGTGTGGACACCACGCCTCCTAACTGCTGCCGAGGTAGATGCTCTTGCTGGACGTGCCCTTGAATTCCTTCCAATCTGTCCTCTAACCACCACCACCGCACTGCTGAGTCAACTCTTGTCAAGGCCACCAAGGACTTCCCTTCCTAAGCCCTAGAGCTCACAGATGGTCATCGCGTAGCAGGGGGCACTCATTCGGCCCCCAGGTCTTCATCCCCGCGCCTGTTCTCAGGTGTGCCCTGCTGCCCTGCAAGGCCTCCTCCTCAGTCATCATGCTTGCTGTGGGGAGCCTTCTCAGAGCCCCAATTTCAGTCGACAGCCCTAACCATGCGTCTGCTGCAGGAACAAGGCACTACGCACATCACCCTTCACTAACCAGATGGCCAGTCACCTGAAAGGAAGGTTCACCTGCCCAGTGGCACTACCTTCTGCTCCCATAGACATTCCTGACTAGAATCCACTCAAAACCACTCATGGCAAACAATTTTAACTAACATAGTTTCACTTTACAGACAGAAGATTGTTCTTAAGGGTCGTTCACTGAGTACGACTCAGAGAGAGATCTTAGAAAGAACAGACTGAAACCCTGACCCTGTTCTGTGCTGTTACGATCTCCAACACAGTAAGGGCCATCGACTTGGAACCAATGCACAGCCGGGCTACGGCAGGCTCTCAGGGGCTGCAAGTCACACAGGAAATGGCTTTTGCTCTCTCCCCTTGGAGTAGCTCATGGATGGCTAAGAACCACGTGCCGTGGAATTGGCAGCACAACTTCTCCCCCACGAGTGCCGACATGCTCGGCCTCTCTGGACAGTCACTGGTTCAGTCCATTCACTGAGGGTCTCCTCTTTTGCAGGCCCCTCCCAGTATGACTGTCTCTTCCAAGGACTGGCACGCTCCTGACAACACGCCCAGTATGTGAGAGAAGGTGTCACCATCCCGCCTCGAAGGAACAACCTGCTCGCACTTCTTTTAAGAGACTTGTTTGCGTCTTAGAAATCCATGGATCTTCCGTACTCTTCTCCACCAGCACAATTCAAAGGCACTGACTCTTCCGTGGTTGTCCTCATTACTGTCCAACTTCCAGATGCACAGGAAGCAACTGAGAACACCACAGCTTGCATCAAGAGCACCTTCATCTTTAAACTTCCTTGCTCTCTGGCACTTTAGAAAGTTTTGTGACAGTAGATTTTCCCAACGCAACACGTCTTTTGATTTCTTGACTGCTGCCACCATAGGTGTTGACTGTGGGTCTAAGTAAAATGAAATAATAAGACAATTTCAGTCTTTTCAGCACCTCTCCTGATTGGTCCAGCATGAGGACGTCTGCTTTCCGGAAGTTGAGACATGATCCGTATTGAAGGCTACAGTCTGGGATCTTTGTCACTTTTTGTAAGCAAGGCTGTGCCACCTGCACGACGCAGGGAGATGAGTCTTCCTCCAATCCCAACGCCACATCCTTCTTCATACAGTCTACTCTCTTAGCAGATCTGCTCAGCATAGAGACGGTACAGGTATGGAGAAAGGGAAAAACCCCAACACAACACCTTTCCAGATTTTAAACCATGTTCCCTTGTTCTGTTTGGACAACTGCTTCTTGATCTATATATAGGTTCTGTATGAACACAATTAAGTGTTCTAGGACTCCTATTCTTCTCAATGGTATTCATAACTTATTATGAGCCACACCGTCAAATGCTTTTGTGTTGTCCATAAAACACAAGTAAACCTCTTTCTGATATTCTCTGCTTTCAGCCAAGATTCACTGGCCATCAGTCAGAACATCCCTTGTTCCATGGTCTTTTCTGAGAAACTCAAGCTGGATTCTCATGTGATAGACATGCTGTGCTTCAGAGGAAGGTGAGTAAGTTATAAACGTGATGACTTGACCGTCTGTAGAAACGGCAGCAACAATGATCCTTGTCGCCTTCATGCTACATGCTTCATGCACTATCTTCATGCTCAGTATTGTCAATTATGCTCCTTTTGAATGAAGCTTTTAATCCATATCATTTTATATGACTTATCAAAATATTTCCTACTCGGGAGTACATAACAGAGCAGAAAGACTGTGAAGCTTTTCCCTGTGAACGAAAGAACTGAGGCTAAACAAAAATGCTACAAAAATGATTTTCTGAAAAAGCTCCTCATGCGAGCCCTGAACAGACACCATCTGTGTTAGTTCTGCGTCTACGGGCTCACCAACCGTGGATTAGGGGAAGAAACAATCAGAGCCAACCCTCATCAAGGTCGGGACGGAACTGCCACGCCAGCACCTTTTCTGAGGCTCTAAAACGCCTGGGAGGAGACTGTCCATCTTTCTCCTGAACCACTGGTGGAAGAAGTAAAGCAACTGCTTAAGTTGCTGTTTTCATAGCACTAAAAATATATGAAGTTGTTTTACTTGTGAGGCCTGGGTTTACGGTCAATGGCCTTCTAACCATCAGCTTCGGCTTTCACCACATGACTGTGTGAGAGCTTAAAGGAGTCCATGTATAAGCAGACCATGACGAGATGGGCCCGTTCCCCATCCTACCCCTGAACTGAGTGGGTATGGCCACAGAGTAGCAAGGAGTAGAGACAGCCGCGCATGTCCTGGTCTCAAGAGTCCTGCATCAGTCACATGAGGACGGCCAGGAGAGCAGCAGCCGCCTCGGCAGAGAAGCAGGGAGTGACAGGAGACAGAGCGGTCCGGGAGCTGCTGTCCAGTGGAGCAAGACCCAGGCCTTCACTTCAGCTTGCTGGAGGACTAAGGGAATTCTGGTGGCCTAGTGAGTAGGGTTCTGAGCTGCTGCACACTGGATCGCTATACATCGCCATGTGACTCAATGGCACATAACAATAAATACTATGACAGGCTTAGAAGCGGGAGTGGCATTCACTTCCTAAACAACATGCCTCCGGAAACTCTATGAACTTTGGTAAATGTTGCTATTTGTAAAGGAGCTTCAGGCTTTTTGTTCATAGGGTCACTATGAGTCATGCTCAGCTCGAAGGCAATCAACAAGAAGTGAGTACGGAGGTACACTGCCAATTCAAAGGCAGGCAGTTCAAATCCATCAGGCGCTTCTCAAGAGCGTGATGGACAATCTCATCTCATGCAATTTATAGCCTCTGAAAACCTGTGAGCGGGTCCGTGATGAGTCAGTCCTGACTTAAAGGCAATGAGTGAGTTTGAAGGGAATAAAGTTGTGCTGACATATGCTGAGCAACCAGGTCAAAGGGCTGGAAGGCACATTTGAGAAGCTGCCCTGAGGAACTGTATCCTACTGCCAACCTGAATTGTAAGCTGCCAGGTTCTCTGCTCAACACCTTAGCCGTAAGTACAGTTCTGGGAGATGTGTGCGACCACTACAAGGTATTCTGGACCTAGTGTGGAGTCGTGTGCGTGGGGCAGGAGTTACAGAAGCAGGTGCAGGCGGCTGGAAGCCACGTCTGACCTTGTGGGAGTTGTTCTGTACGTGGATGTTGCTGATGGGGACTCTTCCCCTCTGTGATGGTAACAGTGGTCGGATCCACCCATCCCCATGCCAGCTATACTCTAAACTGGTTTTATGTAAGGAGCTTTATTAAAGTGCATTTTCCATGAAGAATTCTCCCTAATGTTTGGCTAAGTACCACCAAGATACACAAGTCTGCAGAATGCACCAAGTGAACATTCAGGAGCTCCTGGCTGCAAACCCTAGAAGTATTTCTAAGGGCAGTTTCACCGCCACATTTCACCCCCCAACCAAGCGACACTGCATAACGCTGTGCTCTCCACATGGTGGGCAGGCGCTGTTGGTCGGGTCAGGGGACAAACGCTAAACCAGGCCCGTCCTGCACTCAGTCACGTTCACCAGTGCTCTTTCGGTTTATGGGGCATCCCGCTTCTGGAGCACAGCACTTTGATGACCCAAAAGACAAAAAAATGCACTCAGCTGATTCCTCGCAGCTCAGTGAGACGCAGGAGCGCGTGCTGGCGTGGTGGGTAGCATGCTGCCGTGCTAAACCCAAAGCAAGCCGTTCGGATTCACCAAGCGCTCTTGAAGAGGCTGATGGGCAGTCTCCTCCTGGGAAGACCTAAGTCCTGGAAACCTTGGGGAGGCGACTGAGTTGGAACTGACTCAAGGCCACGAGGCTGGGCTTCCCAGAAGCCATCCCCACACCTTCTCTCAAACAGCAGCTGATTTCTTCACAGCTAGGGCACTAGAGCTTCTTCTAGGAACATAACTGAGTTGATTTCCCACGTGCAGAGATCCGAAAGGTCACAGCAGAAATGCTCCCTGGGCTCCCAATGAGGTCCTCTTTATGGAAGCAGACAGTCCTCTCGCTCTCCCAGCGGTCTGTGGTTCGACCCGCCATACGTGTTTCTCCCTCGGCTTTGTACAAGGACTTCCTGCAGCCGGTCAGGCTCCAGTGGTTTCTTCACTGCAGCTGGTACTTGGCCGGCTGGTCTGAAGATTTTCTTTCTGTTCCCCATTCAGAACTCACCTGCACAAGTGTGCTGGGGATTGGGATGACCCTGATGTTGCTGTCACTGAAATTCAACGCTGGGGGGACCCTGGCAGCATGAGAAACCCCAGTGCAGCATGTCTTTTACAAGTGAGCTCACTGTCCCCACTCAGAACAGGCTTGTGTCCCACGTTACAGGGGGGAGGATGTGCTGGAAGAGGACGGCCACTCATGGAGAGCACAAGGGGCTGGAGCGGGACTTCCCAGCGTCACGAGGTGTGATGTCTCCCCTGGGATGCGGGCACTCACACCCAGCAGTCGGGCGCCCCGAGTGCCCGTATCTCTCCCACCAGGAGAGGGTCTTTGCATTTACTTCCTGACTTAGCATTTCCTACGTTCTGCCACTACTCCAAGCCTCTGAGCGGTGACTACAAAAGAGTAAACATATGAAAACACAAGTTACAGGGTATTTTTTTCCTTTCTATGTCTGAAATGAAGATGATGCTTCCAAGTCTACTTAAAAACAATGCTGGTGAACTAAACAACAGCACCCAAAGAATGACCTCATGAATCTCATGTTTTCTGCTAGCCAAGCTCCCTGCCTGGGCGACCACCCACAAAGAACCAGAGCTCCCAGCGGCGTAAAAGCAGAGGAAACCTCCGGTCTCCGCAGCCTTGGACCTGTCACCCAGAAGGCGCCCGGCACACGTGAGAGCACCACGTGAGGATAGGAGGAAGGAACAGGGTGGGTGTGTGCAAATAGGCAGGAGCTCACCTTTCTGGGGTCTGATGATGAAGGACTGCGTGGCCCCGTTCACCAGCCGGCAGTAGCCGTCGATCAGGTCAGCCATGTTCTCTGCAATGGTTAGGGACGGGGCCGTCACTGTCAGAGGCTAAACGGGGGAGAGACCAACAAAAGGGCCATTATTGTTCTTCCCTACAGTCACCAGAGCAGCTGCGATGACCTCAGACCTTCCTGTGGCCACCTGAAAGCGGGGCGCACTGGGCATGAAACCAGCTCCGTCACAGCTCTGAGGGATGAGACAACTTCGATCTTTAAGGCCATCACTGTCAGAATAAGTGACAGAGGCTAAACCCTGACAGAGAAATGTCTCCATTGAAACACACTCTACGGAACACAAGTGGGCGGAGACGTCCTCCCTCCAGAATGCCTGGCCCTTCCAGCCCTGTCCCAGGGAACAAGAAGCACCAAGTCAAAGGCGGCTTATTCAAAAAACTAGACTGACTTGGAGTCAATTTCTCTCCACTCTGGCATCACAATTTTTCTAACCCTAGAGAAAGTACAACTGTATTTTATTTTTACAAAGTGAAATACATTTTCCTCAGGGCTCAGATCTCATTCCCTTCTCAATAGGTAACACGTTCAACTCTGTCCAGTGAACTTTCTGAAGACCTATCTTTAAACATTCTCTCTGGGAGACAATGAAAGCTGTGTTTTGATTTTTATCAGGCTTTGCTGTCACATCACTTCCAGCCCCAGAACGTGGCAGGACAGAGGGCACTGGTATCCAAGGGTTTTCAGGGCTGTGACCCTTCCCAGGTCGCTCCAGGGTCCTCCCAGAGTGGAGGTGAGCTCGGCCTTGGATCTCTCCTAGCTGCTGAAGCCTCACCCACTGTGCACCAGGGCTCCTCTGTCCACTATAACTATGTCCTGATTCACCTCACTCTTCATAACCTCCTTCCCAGAACATGACCAGTCTCGTGCACTTCAGCATTCCCATCTATAAAAGTGAGACAATCGAAGCATCTCAAAGACTCTACTTCCCCGGCTGGTACACAGGCTCGTTCCTCTGCTTGGTGCCAGAACAGCTGGGACACATTTTAAGTGCCAAGTCTCAGCCCCCATTGCTGTCAGGACTACCGATTACCTGGAGAATCCCAGCCCACGCAGTGTGGGAAATACTTTGCCACTACTTAGAACTCAAAGCTGACTTCCTTGGTAATTCATAATCTAACAAAATAGTAACAGACTTATCTAAAAATCCATCTCCTGCTCTATTCTTGCAACATGTGACCATTTCTGTTTGTAACAGAGCATCTTACCTAGAAAGCTCATTCTGCGGACCCATGGACTTCCCGCAAACCCGCGGGGGCCGGCCGTGAAGAGCGCTGACCCTGCCGCCCCGTGACAGCACCCCTTCTCACCTCGGGGGCACCCGCAATCTTCAGCTGCAGCATGCCCTTCCGGTCTCTGTCCTCACTGTGCGAGTACTGGATGGTCTGCACTTGGTGAAAGTCAGCCAGATGCGTAGGCTTTCGAGGGAGAAGACACACATTCTGGACTATGGCTGACAGGTGCAGTCATGGCCCTGTTAACCGCGCTCCCGGAAATCCTCCAGGCCCCAGCCTCCCCACAGGTCTCCCCACAGCCCCCGCTCCAGCACAGAGCCGTTCCCACAGCGTCACTGCATCATAAGGTGCCTGATGTCCAGGGAGCACATAGCCTGGGAGGAACCACAGACACATCTGCAGCCCCCACTCCCGCAGCAGAGCGCTCACCACGCTCCCGAGCTGAAGGTCCTGACACCTCACCAAGCTCTCAAGAGGGAGGGTGCTGGGAGACAGCAGGGACGGAGAGTCCCATCCACATACCTAACTCCCAGAGGACATGCCAAGGGCAAAACGGCACATTCGACATGGACTAAATGCCCTTTTCCTGCTTGACATGGCGGGGCATGGACAGGATTGTGCAGGGCATCTAGCACTCTGGCATTTCACAGCAGCGTTCCCTCGGCATGTGGTGCATGCTGGGCAGCGCGTCCCAACCGCAAATGAAAGTGGACACTTTCTCCCAATAAATCCAAAGTCAACACTTCAGGTCTCACTAGCATAGGTGCTGTTGTTGTTAAGTGCCGTCGGGTCATAGGCGACTCATAGCCACCCTACAAACGAAAGTCCTCGACACTTGTGTGTCTTTCATCCTTTCTCCAGGTTCACAGCGTTTCCGGAGACAAGCTATTTATGGAAGTAGATGCCACTCCTGCTTTCAAGCTTGCATAGGAGCAGCTTGTACTATTCGTGCTCCCGCACCAAAGAATTTCCACTTGAAACTAGACTTTCCTTTACTTCTGCCTGTCTCATGCATCCAATACTACACTGTGCAAACCCTAAGCTGCAAAGCCCGGCCGCCCCTCCTGCAGCCAGGCTCCGAGGGCGACCCCAGGCCAGCAGGGGCGTGGCGCGGGCTGCCCCAGCACTTACGTTGCAGCCCTTGTCGGTCAGGTAACTGATGCCTTCTTCCGGGCCGATGGCCAGCTCCACAGAAATGATCCAGCTTGACTTTTGGAGAGGAAATGGACAGAGACAGAAGGAGGAGAGGCAAAGGACTCTTTTAGATAAAGGACTGTGGCTGCATTAAGACCCAGCGTGGGACTGCTGAGCTTGCTTTGAATCTCTAAGCGTTTCTAACCCCAATGAGTCCTCATGCGTTTAGCCCAGACAGACGGTGCGCTTCCTGCAGGGCTTCTGCGGGTTACAGGTGCATCACCCTCAGACAAAGAGCAACAAGCAATACCGGGTTGCTATTAAAATCCACACACCTGGCTACGAGCAGAGGCACGCTATGTTCCAAAAGGAATCTACTCTTACACAGACACACTCTCTTCTTCCATTTCCTCCACTGTAACCAAAACCCAAGCCTCTGTTATAAATTAGACACGAATTCATTTCAACCAGAAACCTAGGTGCCATCGTTAAGAAACTGCAGAAGACACTGAGAGGAATCGTCTCTCCTCATACTTACCCCCAGGGCACACTTGAAGCATTCTTTATCAAATCTGTACACCGGGGAGAGAATTTCAAAGAACTTCAGAATACTTTCTTCTCTATTAAGATTGGCAAACTGTCGGAACGTCTGCTGGATCAGTTTTCTTAGGGTTTTGGCCTGCGTGCAAATTCAGAAAAGCCCGAGGGTCAGTGGTGAGTGAAGGATGGGCCAATGCACACGGACACTACGCTCCCCAGCCAGCCACCACTGCAGCCCACCTACATGACCAGGACTCAGAAACCACGTGAAACCAGGTCAACGACTGCTCACCAGAGCTTTACTTCTTAAAAGAAATCTGTGAATAAGGGGCTGATCAGACACTGTAATAAATTAATCACATTTCAATGGTAGTTGGCACTCCATAAAAAGTCTATGAATGACTGTAGAAAAAAAACCAGTATGATCGATAAGCCTTCACTCAAAACAAAAGCTATTCTATTAAAAAAAAAAAGACATCTATCTGTGAGGCAATACTGTGCTTATGAGAACACGCAGTGGAAATGGCACTAAGGAACAGGTGCTGTGTGCACATCTGTCCGGAGCAGGCACGGAGTGAACAGGCACGGAGGACAGGTGCTGTGTGTTCACAGGGACAGAGCAGGCATGGAGAAGAACAGGCACTGTATGTGCATGGGGACAGAGCAGGTATGAGGAAGGCCCTCACATAGTTCTGCTGTTAGGAGTGTTCATCGATAAAAACTTTCTGAAGGACATGTGACAATAAAAATATTTAAAACCCCCACACACTTAAAGCACCAATTCAAACTCTAGCACATTCTTCTCTAGAAAGGACTGCAGAAAAGTGTGAAGATGCAGCAGCAGCAGCCAAGGGCACAGCAGAGCTGTGGACAGGAGCACCTGGACTGCTGACTCTGTGACGCCATTAGCCAAAGTTCTAGGCAGTGTTCTAACGTTCTCTGGAACGTTCTATGCGGCCCTGAAAACTATACTGCAGGGTAATCTAACGTCATCCGAGCACATACAGGAACAAGGAAAGGGCCATCTGTCCAGCACAGCCCTGGGCAAGGAGTGAGAGCCATGGTGGGACCGCTGTGTCCACAGTGAGGGACAGGAAGCAACCCAAGCACAGGCTTCAGGTGTGTTATGGGATTACAGGTGATGGCCTGGCCTTTGGTGCTAACATGAATTATCCACAATGAATGTTTGTGCTTGTGAAAAAAATCTTTTAAACCATGCCACTGAGGAAGCCCTTTCCAGCACACACAGCCCATGGGGTGTGTGTGTGTGTGTGTGTGTGTGTGTGTGTATGAGAAACCAGGAGGGGGTGGCAGGCAGAACACGTGACAGGGGCCTGAGGAGGTCGCACACAGGTCCGAGGTAAGAACTGTCCCTGATTTGAAATGGCAGACACTGTGGAGGAAGCCGCCTGGTGGACGAGGTCAGGGAGAAGTCCAAGAGCTCAGCTGACCACGCTCAGAACCACGGTGCTCGAGGAGCTGGGGCAGGGAAGGCAGCCCTCGGGAGGTGGCAGTGCACAGGGCGAGGTCAGAGGCTCTGGCCACTGGATGTTCCTCAGAGAATCGGCTGGAGGCCAGCTCTGCGGGCTCACTCACTACCCAGCTGTCACTGACTTCACAAGGAGCTACAGGACGGCAGCGTCTCCCCACACCCCCACCCCGAGCCAGCGTCCACTGCTGGATGTCCCCATGGCAGTCGGTTCAAACTCAGCAACCTGCCAACAACTCGAGGCCCCAGACTACATTCGTGATTCAGATCTGAGTATTGTGTCCACAGGCATCCTTCTCAAAGGCTGGGGTCTCATGCGGGACAGCACCTCAGCGCTGAGCCACAGCTCCAGAGGTTCTCTGAAGGACAACAAGCACAATTCCAGAGGATCCAAAATTTGATTTTAAAGTGTTACTGAGTTTGTTTTAGAAAGGGTGTCTCTAGCTTACCTAACATCAGGGAGTAAGAAATAGCACCACTGAGCCAGTCGTCCTCAGGGTCTGAAGCCCAGACCACTCTGCCATCAATCATGGCTTATTCAAGTCCCACCAGACAGAAGGATGGACCCTCCCAACACTTCAACAGCGTGGGAGCGGGGTGGGGTGGGGGTTGCTGAGTTAAAACAAAGCCGCAAACACAAGAACGTAACAGTGGGGCTAGCCAGAATAAAATGGTCATTGGAAATGCAAACATGAAGTGACTCACGCATTTCATACACTCACAGGAGAAACCAGAAGCTGAGAAGTTTCTAAAGCTCTTTAAGAAGTAGAGGAATTTATATAAAAATGACTAGAGTAACTGTCAGCTTTTTACAGTGAAGCATTACACATTAGGGAGACACAACATCAAAATATCTCTCCAAAACCAACTTGCTATTGAGGAAAATCTATTTGCCTTATTTTATTATGATAAAGGATACTAATTACCTTCACAGAATCCAGTAAACTTTTAGGGAAAAAGCGCTTTAAACCAACATCTTTTCTGAAATAGAAAAAGAGGTGTATTAGCATCATAAATTAAGACCCTGGCATTCTCTCAGCCATGTCAAAGTACACTGCATCACTCAGTTTCCTGACTATGACTTAGGGAGGAGAGCATATGACGACAATGTGGCCGGCTGTCATGTCCTCAGCAGGGGAAGGTAAGTCCACAAGTCACAGAGTTGCTTCAAGTTCAAAGTCCTCCTCTGGCTCTTTGTCCTTGACCTTAACTGTTAGCGACTCTGTGGCTCTGTTCTCTATTCTTATTCATAACAATATGCCGCCTTGTTTCTCAGGCACTACTTGCAGGTTATCATAGCTAAACATTACTTCAACCGTATGTATGATTTATGACATGAAAGGATTTGGGACATGCCTGGAAGTTTCAAAAAACAACAAAAAGTCACTCCCTTGGATCTAACGAAGAGCTGACTAATTTTTAACAAACTCTCAGGTCAGGGATTCTTTCACCCCATAAAGTTTAGGACCCGTTTCTTGTAAGGAAAAAAAAACCAGAAAAAGTCAGTGAGTATTCTAAGGTCAAAAAGGTTGATGTGAGAAGGACTGCAAGCCCCCCCGACTTTCCTGGGATCAGGCAAAGGAGGTGTATTCACTGCCATTACCAGAAGTCTCAGAGCACGCAGCCAGGGGCGTGAAAGGACACGCATTCTCTTCTACCTGCTCTAGGGACAAGGGCTTTGTGGCCACCAGATGGCACTCAAGGGCTGTAAAGGGAAAGAACGCTCATGTCAGGGAACAGGAAGTCCTGCTATGGAAAATACCAGGATCAAAAAGGATTATACACTGACCACAGGCTGAACAGGAACTAGGGGGAAAAAATCAGGGATCACACTGTCAGAAACCATAAATGACATGATAATAAAGACAGAAGTTGCACCAGAGTTCCTACATCCAACTAAGCTTCCCAGTGCTCTACCCCACCATCTTCCTAGGGGCTGCCCAGGCCATGGACTCCTTGTTATATGCACCCTCGGTCTCCGCTGTCACTCTTCTTGACACCATTACGCAGGATTTTCACTATAACCTAAGAAATTCCCTCTCATCTTCTAGGACATACTCTCTTGTGGTTTCACCGACCAGGTAATTTGCATGACGCCTGGTTTTCCAGTATCTCTCTCCTCTTCTGGTCACAATGTCTTTCTATGACTACTTTAACATTCAACTTACTTTAATAACTTGACAGAAAGAAGAAAGGTATGCTCCAGATACACAGTCTGAATACCAGTTGTTCCACAGGAGGATGGTCAATCCCTTCTGTGTAATTTACTGCCTCTGAAAATCCGCTGAGTATTCTTATTCAACAACATACCCAACAACAGGTCATGGAAAACCATTTGTTTTATAAATTTTCACTGAAATAACAATTGGTGATAAAAAAAGACATTCCAAATTAGAAAAGGAGAAGGGAAGTCCTGAGTTTGAATCTTGGCTTTACCACAGGATAATCTATCTGCTACTTGGTTTCTGTAAACCCTAGCTTCCTTGGGAACTGAAGAACAGATTCAAACCTAGAGTTGCTGTAATCAAGGATGCTTTGGGCAGAATATTAAATGATCCAGGAAGTATTAAAAGAAGATGGAAGGA